ATAGAGGAGTGTTATAAACAGGAGAAAAAATTGGAAGAGATTTAGAGAGTTATACTCAGTTTCTTCGCTTTAATTCATATAATATAAAATTATCGAAATAATGTAATGGCCTGACTTGAATCTTGACGGTCGTAGTGGAGGAACCTTAAAGTCAACCCACAAACGGATATCGCAACAGAGAACATGTGGCAGCCAAGCGCCCATTGCTAAGACAAGGAGTAATGTTCAGATATTGCTGTAAACTGGCTAGTAGTGCTATAAAGCATCACTATCAAGGAAGAATCTTTCAATTAGACAAGTTTCTCCCACTGTGGGTTCTACCAAGTACCTGAATGAAAGCTTCTGACCTCTCTGTTTATAGCACCTAAGCCAGAGTAACCCCCATAATACAGAAAGCAAGCCGGCCCGAAGCTCTGTCATAATACACAAGCCACAAGAAGCCACAGACAAGACGGGTGTGTTTACCTGCATCTATATATAACTTCTTCATGACATTCCATACACCTGCAAGGAAACACTACTATGAGAAAATATGATGAAGAAACACAGGTGTTTCCGTCCAGCTAAACTATCACAATATTCCTCCCTCCTACACACACGCCAACCCCGTCAGCCACCTCGCTTAGCGACCCCGTCAGCCACCTCGCTTAGCGACCACCGTCAACGACACCTGGTCACTCTTCAACGACCCCGTCAACGACACCCGGTCGCTCGTCGCATATCTAGCAACACCTTGTATATGCCATGACAGAAGGGATACTAATGTATAACATAATATACTCACAAAGATAATGACTAACATAATTAATTGAATATAAAAAATGCATCACTTATAATTAGTAAAATTATGCACCTTATACATCATAAAATATTAATGCCATCAATTAGCAGTCAACTAAAGAATTTAATATGCATATATATAGATATATGTATATAATATATATATAATAATATATATATAATTATATATATATATATATATATATATATATATATATATATATATATATATATATATATATATATATATATATATATATATATATATATTATATATATATATATATATATATATATATATTGGTATAAACCTTGGTAATAAATACCAACAAGTTGGTTTAGAAAGACACGTAAGCAAACACTATGACATATTTATTAGAAAACGTTTCGGTCCTGGGACCTTGATCACTTCTAACATACAGAGGTAGAAAGGCATTATATATAGGCGGAGAGTGAGATGTGACGCACGTGACCTGAGGAATGTCATAAGAACATAAGAATGGAGGAACACTGTAGAAGGCCTGCTGGCTCATGCGAGGCAAGTCTTAATCAGAACAACCTCTATCTATGATGAGGACGGGTAGACGATGAAATCATGTGACTCCTGTGTTGTTGGGTTGGTGCTGCTTAAGTATCATGTATGCCAATGTTTTTGAAATTTTGTAGTTTCCAGTGTTGCGTTCTATAGTGTCGGTGACGGCGATTAGTGAGGCTTCTAGGCACCGTCGGCGTCTGAGGTCTGGTTCGGTGAGAACGAGTTGTGCCTCATTCCAGTTCATCAAATGCCCCGTGGAGTCTCTGTGGAGGACACAGGCGTACCTTACATCGTCTCTGTTAGAGGCATTTCGATGCTCATTCAGGCGGACTGCAAGATCTCTGCCTGTCTCGCCTACATATTTCTTGGGACAGAACCCACAGGGGATAGTGTAGACGCCTGCTGTAGAAGTTAGAGGTGTGGGGCTGCGTTTCGTAGTGAGGTCTTTGATAGATGATGCGTTTATGGTGGAAACGTTGATGTTACTCATAGCAAGTGCCCGGCGAGTATTCGTGGCAACATCGCCACATGGGAGTACTATGAACTGTTTAGGGGGCTGTTCCATGGGCGGTTTGTTGAGGATAGCTTGTGCCTTGAGTCTGCAATCTCGGATGAAGAAAGATGGAAACTGAAGACGTGTAAAGGCTTGTGTTATGTAAGTGCATTCTTCTTCTAGAAAACAAGGGCTGGAGATGCGAAGAGCTCTCAAGAAGCCAATGAGGACTCCTCTCTTAGTGCGGGTGTCTTGGTGTGAATAAAAGTGTATAAGATCGTCCTTGTTGGTAGGTTTTCTATACACTTTGAAGAGAAGTTTGTCACTGTCGGGAGATCTGCACAGTAGAACGTCGAGGAAAGGAAGTTTGCCATCATTTTCGAGTTCAAGTGTAAACTTTATTGATGGTTCAACTGCATTGATCTTGTTGAGAAGGGCCTGGATATTGAGACGTCTCGGATAGAAAACCAATATATCATCAACGTATCTTAGCCAGGTAACGGTGTTGGGAATGAGGGTGCTGAATTTCTCTGTCACACCAAGACACCCGCACTAAGAGAGGAGTCCTCATTGGCTTCTTCTTGAGAGCTCTTCGCATCTCCAGCCCTTGTTTTCTAGAAGAAGAATGCACTTACATAACACAATCCTTTACACGTCTTCAGTTCCCATCTTTCTTCATCCGAGATTGCAGACTCAAGGCACAAGCTATCCTCAACAAACCGCCCATGGAACAGCCCCCTAAACAGTTCATAGTACTCCCATGTGGCGATGTTGCCACGAATACTCGCTGGGCACTTGCTATGAGTAACATCAACGTTTCCACCATAAACACATCATCTATCAAAGACCTCACTACGAAACGCAGCCCCACACCTCTAACTTCTACAGCAGGCGTCTACACTATCCCCTGTGGGTTCTGTCCCAAGAAATATGTAGGCGAGACAGGCAGAGATCTTGCAGTCCGCCTGAATGAGCATCGAAATGCCTCTAACAGAGACGATGTAAGGTACGCCTGTGTCCTCCACAGAGACTCCACGGGACATTTGATGAACTGGAATGAGGCACAACTCGTTCTCACCGAACCAGACCTCAGACGCCGACGGTGCCTAGAAGCCTCACTAATCGCCGTCACCGACACTATAGAACGCAACACTGGAAACTACAAAATTTCAAAAACATTGGCATACATGATACTTAAGCAGCACCAACCCAACAACACAGGAGTCACATGATTTCATCGTCTACCCATCCTCATCATAGGCAGAGGCTGTTTTGATAAGGACCTGCCTCGCATGGGCAAGTAGGCCTTCTACAGTGTTCCTCCATTCTTATGTTTTTATGACATTCCTTAGGTCACGTGCGTCACACCTCACTCTCCGCCTATATATATAATGTCTTTCTACCTCTGTATGTTAGAAGTGATCAAGGTCCCAGGACCGAAACGTTTTCTAATAAATATGTTATAGTGTTTGCTTGCGTGTCTTTCTAAACCATAAATATATATATATATATATATATATATATATATATATATATATATATTATATATATATATATATATATATATATATATATAATACTTTAAAATATAAATGGAAATAACATATCTCGTGCGTAAGAAAAATGAAAACTAGCATTTGCTGTACTCCCTTATCAGCCACTCTGTAAAAATCAGAGAAAATCATTTATAAACCAAATCAAAACATATGCTAAACGCAAGTAAAATAAAACGTTCATTATTACACAGGTCAGGTCCGTCTTTACTGGAGTAGACTCTACTGACGCCAGTTTAGTGGTACAGGATCGACTGGACGACACAGTAAATTCTTCCATGTGTGTAGTGCGCTCAGTGGCATCATAGTGGTGGAATATGGCACTAAATTGGGGTTTATCTTACGGTCAAGTTCTAAAACATCTGCTCAAGTGTTTAAAACGTGGACCTTCAGTTGACACTTAGTTCTACCGATATATATAACATTCCAACAATAACAATTACATCTCTAGGCTACAGAAGACAGTAATTCAACAGGTGTAACATCCTTAAACTTAAGAGTCCTTATATAGTGTATTTAGGCTTAAATATAACTAACACTTGGGGATAATATTGTAATAAGTTATTTTTTTCAAGAAAAACTGCTTTTGTTTAGGGAATTTATTCAGAAAAAAGGGAAAATTGCTCTTCTGACAGTAATTCTTGGTTCTGAAGAATGCTCTTGTTTAAATACGTAAGATTTTTTTTTTAAATCATTTAGTAAATGTTTTGTATCAATTCAGAATCGATTTGGAGTGAAATACAGTGAACATGTATCAAGGGTTCTATTATGTAGGTGCAAACGGAGGGATTTTGCAGTTATTCTAGTAAATGTTGGTTCACACACAGTGAAGTGCCAACACTGTCACCACACAGTGATGTGCCAACACTGTCACCACACAGTGATGTGCCAACACTGTCACCACACAGTGAGTGCCAACACTGTCACCACACAGTGAAAGTGCCAACACTGTCACCACACAGTGATGTGCCAACACTGTCACCACACAGTGATGTGCCAACACTGTCACCACACAGTGAAGTGCCAACACTGTCACCACACAGTGATGTGCCAACACTGTCACCACACAGTGATGTGCCAACACTGTCACCACACAGTGATGTGCCAACACTGTCACCACACAGTGATGTGCCAACACTGTCACCACACAGTGATGTGCCAACACTGTCACCACACAGTGATGTGCCACATGTCACACACGTGTGCACGTCCCACACAGTGAAGTGCCAACACTGTCACCACACAGTGATGTGCCAACACTGTCACCACACAGTGATGTGCCAACACTGTCACCACACAGTGAAGTGCCAACACTGTCACCACACAGTGAAGTGCCAACACTGTCACCACACAGTGAAGTGCCAACACTGTCACCACACAGTGAAGTGCCAATCACTTCGTACCGACAAGCTATGTGTAGGCGAAACGTTTCCAAATAAAGATACCTAACTGTTACAAAGTGCTTACCAACACACTGTCACCACACAGTGAAGTGCCAACACTTACCACTGTGACTACCGAGAAAAATCAACAAAAGACAATATTCCATCTGAAGATTAAGACACTTATACAACATAAGAGAATCTTTATTTAAGAAACGTTTCGCCACAACAATAATGTCAATCGTCCACAAAATGTAAATATTAGAAAGGTATCGTCAACCTAACTCGATATAGCAATAGTTACGATTCAGCAGGACATATATTTGACCAGTCGACCTTAAAACAAGCAAGGAAATCATTGGCCAAAGTAGATCACACAGAATTCTCCGTTCTTCTCTCTTCTTATTAATTTGATGTTTAGCATATGTTAAAACACGGTTCTTATTAGTTTTACCTGATTTTGTACAGCGCCTGAAGGTGGGTTTAAATTAACTCCGAAACTAGTTAATAAATGATGTTTTAAGTAGCAGTGCTGGTTTTCACCTCTTATATATTATATATATATAAATATATATTATATAAAATTTTTAATATATATATATATTAATATAATATTAAATATATATATATATTTATACTATACTTATATGTCGTGCCGAATAGGCTGAACTTGCTATCTTGGACTTAAATTGCAACGCTCATCTTGCCATATAGGACAAGCGAAAATATTGTGAAATGCAATAATTTCGCCAAAATTCATTCTTAACCTAACGAAAATATATTATCACTGTGTTATGTTTAGTATTAAATTATAGTAAAAAATCTAAATATTTAGTTGGGTTAGGCTAAATAATTACTCTTGTTATAATAGGTTAGGTAAGTTTTCTGAAGATTCTTTGGTGCAATTATAATTTTTTACATCACATTAATGAAAAAATATATCTTAAACGTATAAGATTTTTTTAGAAAGGACTAATTTTATGAGTTCTTGCTAATTGACCAGTTTTAATATTCAGCACGACATATATATATATATATATATATATATATATATATATATATATATATATATATATATATATATATATATATATATATATATATCATTAACAGAACTGCGGCTAGCCAGGATTCGATCCTGCGTCACCATGCCCAGCATTGTCAGACAGGACAATGTACGTATCACTCTATTCACTAGACCAACAATTCTTTCTCAAACACCACTGGGCGTGTTTTTCCCTGATACGAGAACATACGTGGTCGTGGAGCCTCAGAGACTAGTTCCAACCTCATCCTGCTAGGGGCACCAGCCTTCACGAACACTCTATATTAATCAACTCACCAAACAAGTGATACTGAATCAGTTCTCGTATCAGGGCAAAACACGCCCGGTTCCACTGGGGACCTGGTGTTTGAGAATTGTTTTTCCAGTGGATAGAGTGATGCATACATTGTCCTGTTCTCACAGGGCTGGGCATGGTGACGCAGGATCGAGTCCTGGTTGGCCGCAGCTCTGTTAATGATTCAAAATCACTTGTTTCGTGATTTCATACATAAAATATAATAAGCATAAAATGAACAAGAAAACTTCCTTGCTTTCAGTGGCAAATATTGTTTCATATCCCCCCATTTCTCTCTCTCTCTCTCTCTCTCTCTCTCTTCTCCTCTCACTCTCTCTCTCTCTCTCTCTCTCTCTCTCTCTCTTTCTCTTACTCTTTCTCTCCCCCTATCAGCCCCACTGCTTTTCCCCTTAAAGGGGAGGGAGGTTCCCCTTGATGATGATGAAGGGCTCTTGTTCCAGAGAATGGGAGCAACTCTCCCTTCTCTTGGATCAAACCAAATTAACCACTATTCCCCTTTTCCCCTTCTATTCCCCTTGGGGAAGTATGACCCCTATTGATTGAAAGCCTCCTCATTATAATAATAATAATAATAATAATAATAATAATAATAATAATAATAATAATAATAATAAAAAATAATAATAATTGCTACTGCTGTTACTAAACTTGATACTACTGCTACTACTACTGCTGCTGCTAATAATAATAATAATAATAATAATAATAATAATAATAATAATAATAATCCTTTTATTACTACTATACTACTACTAATAATAATAATATTCTTTTATTACTACTACTACTACTATTAATACCACTACTTTTATTACTACTACTACTACTATTAATACCACTACTTTTATTACTACTAATAATAATATTACTCCTGCATCTTTCATTTCTACTACTACTACTACTGCTATTACCACTATTACTATTAATGCTATTACTACTTCTATTACTACTATTATTACTATTGCTATTATTAATACTATTACTTTGCTTCTACTACTACTACTAAAAATAATAATAATAATAATAATAATAATATAGTAATAATAATAATAATAATAATAATAATAATAATAATAATAATATAATAATAATAATAATAATAATAATAATAATTAAAGAGTCTGCTCCTCTCCCATGCGGTGCACTACCCTCTAAATGTACGGGCTCGAGCCTACGTTCTCACCTGGAGACTGGAGCGGACGCGGAAGACGTCGTACTGGCACTTGTCGTGGTCCTCGTGGGAACGCTCGTGGATCAGCAGGTTGTAACTCTTGCGGAAGACCCGCTGACAGTAGCGACACACGTAGGAGTTCTCCGTGCCCGACTTGCGACCCTCGCAGAGCACCTGCGACTTGCCGCTCTCCCAGTCGCCTTCAGGCATCTTGAGGGTGTGCTGCTGCAGGGCAGACGGAGGAGGAAGCGACGGAGGTGGTGATGCAGGAGGCAGCGGCAGGAGGCAGCGGCAGGACGCAGCGGCAGGAGGAGGTGGCGGGAGGAGGTGGCGGGGTGGACGAAGGAGGTGTAACCGACCGGGAAATGAAATAATAAAAACGTGTATGTTAGAAGAGTTTGTTGATTTGTGAGAGAGAGAGATGAGAGAGAAGAGAGAGAGAGAGAGAGAGGAGAGAGAGAGAGAGAAGAGAGAGAGAGGAGGAGAGAGAGAGAGAGAGAGAGAGAGAGAGAGAGAGAGAGAGAGCAATAAAATAAAAATTTAGGACATTTTTCTCAATAGTTCAGGTATTTAAAAGAATAATCATATAAAGTCTGAAATAATATCTAAAAGTTTTGAAATTCTGACTGTAAAATAAAGTGTTTCTAGTCAAAATATTTAAATTTTAGTGATTAGCAGGATTATAATAATATTATTATTATTATTATTGTTACTACTACTACTACTACTACCACTAATAATAATAATAATAATAATAATAATAATAATAATAATAATAATAATAATAATAAATCTTAAAGTCTACAGGTACATGATATAACTTATACAGACCAAAGTTAACATCAGGGACATACTATATAGAAAGCCACTTGTTATGTAGAACATTACGGACAAATTAGGTTAATTTTGTCCCCAGGATGCGACCCATACCGTTCATCTAACACCCAGGTTACCTATTTACTGATACGTGACCAGGGACAGCAGGTGCCTTAAGGAAACACGCTTCCAGTGTTTCCACCCGTACGGGGGATCGAGTCACGGACCTCAGTGTGTGAGTTGGGTGCGCTACCAACCTAGCTACGGGACATCTCAAGGAAGAATTTTTTGGGACAAACTGAGATTGAGCAACAGGTCACAGCATGTAGAGTCAGTTTAGCAGGTTTGAGTCTACTCCCGTTCCCCAGGTCACAGCATGTAGAGTCAGTTTAGCAGGTTTGAGTCTACTCCCGTTCCCCAGGTCACAGCATGTAGAGTCAGTATAGTACGACTGAGTCTACTCCCGTACCCCAGGTCACAGCATGTAGAGTCAGTTTAACAGATTTGAGTCTACTCCAGTACCCCAGGTCACAGCATGTAGAGTCAGTTTAACAGGTTTGAGTCTACTCCAGTACCCCAGGTCACAGCATGTAGAGTCAGTTTACTAGGTCTGAGTCTACCCCCGTATCTTTGGAAAACCAACACGTTTAATAAATAAACGTAGCAGCCCCCCCCAGATTAGCAACGTTTCGCTCTGAGTATAGCGAAACGACTTCCATAAAGTCTGCTAAGTATTCCTCTTTTATATTTGTGGAAATGTGGTGGAAATGTGGTGGAAATGTGGTGGAAATGTGGTGGAAATGTGGTGGAAATGGGGAATGGTCAAGATAGGAAGATAAAGAGGAAAGCTGATAAAAGATAAATGAAAGATAAGAGAGAGGAAAAAACTGGAAAACTAAATTCTATATATAACATAAATAACCATAATTGAAACAATAATATATATATGAAAATACAAAAAAAAAAAAAAACAAGAAACGAATGGAAAAAAATCAAACACCTCTATATATATAGACTGTGTTTGTTGTTGCTGTTGTGTTGTTTACTGGTTACCTCCCACTCCCTAGGCGCTGTATGACCCTCACGGGTTTAACGCTAATCCAGTGAGTGTGACCGACAAGCCAGCGGTTGAGACTCACCCTGATCCCCAGCACCAAGGAGTCACCAGCATCACTGAACAAGTCACCACACTACAACACACCTTCGCCAAGTAATTCTCCAGGACGAGCAATACAACAACAACAGAGAATACAACACCAGCAACTGAAACAGAAGATACAACAGCACTAACAACAGAATGCACAACAGAAATAACAAATCCAAGAACCAAGGACCTATTTTCTCTCCAACCCAACCCAGGAATTCCCTCCAAACATCAGAATTCCCCACTTATCCTTCCCCAAAATATTTATATCCATTAGACATAAGAAAAGTGACCCAGGCCAGGAACACCTACAGCCCCGCGACAGCTAGCACAGGTTTCTGTGATGCCCTGACAGCACAATTACAACCACAAACACCTGACGGAGACGTAATGGGGCAAGACAGCAGCCGCATTCCCCCGCCCCGCTATCTGGAGGTGAGATCCTCAGGACCTCGCCATCAACTTATCACTCTCCATCTCTCCATAGGGGTGTGAGGGAACCGAGAGAGAGGATCAGGAGGAAGAGGGAAGAGGAGAAGGAGGAGGAGGAGGAGAGATAGAAGGAACGGAAAAGGATGCGGTGAGGAGTTAAACTGTATGTTAAGGTAAAGAGAAGAGAGGAAGTGAAAGGGAACGACTATAAAGAAAGAACTGAAAAGATAAACAGATGTAATTAGTAAGCAGAAGAGACAAATAGTAAACAAGAGAAACTACAAAAACAAGAGAATATAAAATCAATAGGAGCCAGTCAATGCGAGTAAAGGCGTAAACTAGTTATCATAGAGGTCTCTTTCTCTCTCTGTCTCTGTCTCTGTCTCTGTCTCTCTCTCTCTCTCTCTATTACAACAAATATGTTGACGCTGCACATCACAAGAGTCAAGGCTAGCCAAGTGTAACTTACCAAGCTATTACTTAGCACAGGTGGACAAGATCTCTGCAGCCTTCCCCCTTCGTGTACTGAATGACCTGTGTAGCTGCAGGACTCACTCACCATGAGTTCAAACCCCACCCGTTCCGTGGTTCATAGACATATGAAATTTGTGAATGATTCACAAATAACCCGCACGTAGGAGAATCCTACTTATGACGACGTTTCGCTCCGACCTTGGACCGATACGTTGCGATATGTTTCTCCTATGTGCGAGTTATCTGTGTATTGTTCCAGTCACTGTATTGTGTATTTTAATTCCTTTATAGTGATTGATTGTTGAGGTGTAAGGTTTTAGACAGTGATTGTTGTTTGTAAGGTCAGCGTTGTCTGATGAATGATTGTTGTTTGTAAGGTTAGTGTCGTCTGTGTATTTTGGGATATAGACACGATGCGGTTAAATGGAGTCCTCTACCGCCGACGTTCCGCCCAGTCCATCGTGTGGGCTGCCAACTAATCCGCAATCACCGTGGAACTAGAAAGTTAGTGAGGGTATCCAGGGCGTGGAGCAAAGGCGTGTGTGATGGAGGGTTCAGGTGCACGCCGCCACAGGGGTCCTACTCCAGAAATAATTGATGAAGTCTATCATTTAATATGAGTGTTCTATCACCCTAGCTTTCCCCAGGCCCTCACCACCCCAGCCTCCCTCACGTCCTTATCTCTTCAGCATCCTTCAGGTCTTCATCACCCCAGCCTTCCCCGAGTTCTCATTAACCCAGGCTCCCCAGGTCCTCATCATCCTAACCTTGCCAGGTCCTCATCACCCCAGCCTCATCCAGGTCCTCATTATCCCAGCCTTTCTCAGGTCCTCGCCACCTCAGCTTTCCAACGTTCTCATCATCCCATCCTCCCCAGGTTCTAATCATCCCAACCTTCCCAGGTCTTCATCACCCCAGCCTCTACCAAGTCCTCATCACCCCAGCTTCTCATGGGTCCTCATCATCCCAACTTTCCCAAGTCCTCATCACCCCAGCCGCGCCCGGGTCCTCATCACCCCAGCCGCTCCCAGGTCCTCATCACCCCAGCCGCTCCCAGGTCCTCATCACCCCAGCCGCTCCCAGGTCCTCATCACCCCAGCCGCTCCCAGGTCCTCATCACCCCAGCCGCTCCCAGGTCCTCATCACCCCAGCCGCTCCCAGGTCCTCATCACCCCAGCCGCTCCCAGGTCCTCATCACCCCAGCCGCTCCCAGGTCGGCATCATCCCAGCCTTCCCCAGAACCCCTTCTCATTCTCCGGCCCCCCGAGGTTTAAATGGACTCTTCGGAAGCTGTTACATACCCTGCTTAAGGTAAGCAAACATAACATTTATTTCTTTATAGCTAGTTGACATTATACACACGGTGAGTGGTGTTGTGTGGGCGTGGGAGGGCGTGGGTGAGCATGGGTGATGTACTAAGAATTGGCGTGGGACCGCAAGTTCTTAGTACAGCACTCTCCAGTATATTTCATCAACGTAACGCCTTATCTAAATTGACCATTCTGTTTACAGCGGATAAATGGGATGGAGAAACTACCGTGTGTGTGTGTGTGTGTGTGTGTACTCACCTAGTTGAGGTTGCGGGGGTCGAGTCCGAGCTCCTGGCCCCGCCTCTTCACTGATCGCTACTAGGTCACTCTCCCCGAGCCGTGAGCTTTATCATACCTCTGCTTAAAGCTATGTATGGATCCTGCCTCCACTACATCGCTTCCCAAACTATTCCACTTACTGACTACTCTGTGGCTGAAGAAATACTTCCTAACATCCCTGTGATTCATCTGTGTCTTTAGCTTCCAACTGTGTCCCCTTGTTGCTGTGTCCAAACTCTGGAACATCCTGTCTTTGTCCACCTTGTCAATTCCCCTCAGTATTTTGTATGTCGTTATCATGTCCCCCCTATCTCTCCTGTCCTCCAGTGTCGTCAGGTTGATTTCCCTTAACCTCTCCTCGTAGGACATACCTCTTAGCTCTGGGACTAGTCTTGTTGCAAACCTTTGCACTTTCTCTAGTTTCTTTACGTGCTTGGCTAGGTGTGGGTCCAAACTGGTGCCGCATACTCCAATATGGGCCTAACGTATACGTGTACAGGGTCCTGAACGATTCCTTATTAAGATGTCGGAATGCTGTTCTGAGGTTTGCTAGGCGCCCATATGCTGCAGCAGTTATTTGGTTGATGTGCGCTTCAGGAGATGTGCCTGGTGTTATACTCACCCCAAGATCTTTTTCCTTGAGTGAGGTTTGTAGTCTCTGACCCCCTAGACTGTAACTCCGTCTGCGGCCTTCTTTGCCCTTCCCCATCTTCATGACTTTGCACTTGGTGGGATTGAACTCCAGGAGCCAATTGCTGGACCAGGTCTGC